GACCCCTATGACTACTAGGAATCGGGATAGCACACAAAACCACAGCCACGCTATGACAAACAGTTACAAGGACCAAAGACCCCATTCCTATGACATGCAGGGCCAGCGTGGTGTACAAAATACAATGCAAGGACTGCCAAAAACATTACATCGGTCAGACAGGAAGGAAACTAGCCATCAGGATACATGAACACCAGCTAGCAACAAAACGACACTATGAAATTTCCCTCATTTCAGTACACTCGGGCAATGAAGGCCATCAATTTAACTGGGACGACATGACCATCCTAATCCCAAGCCAACCGTAGAGATGCATGGAATACCTAGAGATAACAAGGTGTAGAGCTAAATGAACACAGCAGGCCAAGCAGCATCAGAGGAGCAGGAAAGCTGACATTCTGGCCTGCTGTGTTCATCCAGCTCTACACCTTGTTATCTCAGATTCTCCAGCATCTGCAGTTCCTACTATCTCTGGAATTCCTAGAGGTCTGGTTCTCCACCCATAATGCAAATCAGTAAACATGTAGAATTAGACCCCATATACAAACGCTTGCAAAAAAAACGGAAATGACACACAACACCTCAAAAGACTGGATCATAGAAATACTAAGTGGACTAGAACAACATCGCTTCATTGGACGCAGCACTGATGATGTTATATAGCATGGTGACAAAATGTCTGAACGATAACCAGCCAGTTTGGCAAGCAAATGTACAGCCTCACAAGGCAGCCTGTTTGGCACCACAAGTGAGACCTTCAACATTCACTACCTTCCATCACCAACACGTAATGGCAGCAATACCAACCATCTACAAAAGGCAATACAACTCACCAAGACTACTACAACAGCACCTTCTATATGCTTCATTTCTTACCACCTAGAAGATAAAGATATATTTTCCATCACCACCAGACCACACAGATGCACTACATTGCCGACACTTCCCCATCACTGGAACAAAAACAAATCCTGGAGCTCCCTTCCTGTCAGCACTGAGTGCCCCTACGTCACAGGAACTGCAGCAGTTCAAGATAGCAGCTTGCTACCAGCACCTCCACAACAATTAGAAGTGAGTAATAATTACTGGCATAGCCAGCGACACTCGCATCCCGTGAATGAATTTTTTTAAAAACTGAGAGAATTAAATTCGCTGAAGGTGATATTGAGATGGATCATCCACTTGGCACCTTTGGGGAAGCAACCTTAATGAAACATTCAGGATTCTCAGAGGGCTTGACAGTGTTGATGCAGAAGGTTGTTTTGAATATGGTGGAGTCTACGATGAGAGGGCGTACGCTAACTGTAAGGAGTCATCCATTTAAGTCTGAAATAAAGGGGCCTGTCTTCTGTTCGAGGTAGTGACTCTAAAGAGTTATTTAACATGGAGGATTGTTCAGTCTGAGAAGTTAAGTATATGCAAGGCTGAGACAGACTCATTTTTTTAATCAGTAAGAGAATCAATGGTTATGGGGAAAAGGGAAGGTGGAGTTGAGGATTATCAGATCAGTCTGAATCTCATGGAATGGCAGAGAAGACTTGATAGGCTGAATAGCCTACTTCTGCTCCTATGCCTTAAGGTCATATGATTAATTGATGGAAAATTTCAAACATTATGGCCTAGTTTAAGAAAACTGTAAGGATAAGCCCAACAATTAAAGACCAGTATATTTATATTCAGTGGGAAGCTTCTAGAAACAGTTATTTGGGATGGAATTAGTCGTCACTTAGAGAAAAGGTGAATTGATTAGGAAGAGGCAGCATGGATATCTTAAGGGGAAATCCATTGTAACTAACTAACTGTGATTTTTAAAGGTAACAGAAAGATTCAATGAGAGAAACGTTGTTGATGTGTTTGTGGACTCCCAGAAAGCATTTGATACAATGCCACACATTTGCAAAGAAAGTCTTGCATTAAAAGGGACAGTAGCAACATGGATACAAAATCAGCTGGGTGATAGCAAACAGCAGTGGCAAATGGGTATTATTGGGTTGGTATTGGGAGTCTTGCTTCTCCTGATGTATATTAATGATTTAGATCTTGGTGTGCAGAGGACAATTTCAAAGTTTGCAGAGGACACAAAACTTGAAAAAACTGTTGAAAAAACTAAACTGTAAGGAGGTTCATGTAGAATTTCAGAAGGACGTAGACAAGTGACAAATAGGGTTCAATGCAGAAAAATGTGGAGTGATGCTTTTTGGAAGGAAGAACATTGAAATAAGTATAACACAGGGAATATAAAGTGTGCAGGAGCAAGGGGACCTAGATATACATGTGTGTAAATCACTGAAGGTGGCAGGGTAGGTTATGAGAATGTTTCCAGTGATGAGAAATTTCAGTTGTGAGGAAACATTGAAGAGGTTGAGACTGTTCTTCTTGGAGAGAAGCGGAGTAAGAGGAGATCTGATAGTCGTTTTCTAAATCATGAGGGGGCTGGAAAGAGTAGATAAGCAGAAACTGTTCTCATTTATAAAAGGAGACCACAGATTTAAAGTGATTTGCAAAAGAAGCAAATACGAGGTGAGAAAATACTTTTTCACTCTTAAGTATTTCTAGGGTATGGAATACACTGCCTCGGAGCTGTTGTGCAGAGAAGTTCAATTGAGGCATTCAGAGTGTATCATGATTATTCTGATAAAAATGATATTCATGGGTATGAGGCAAAACAAGGGATAACAATCTTCATTTAAAGAGCTAGTACAGGAATGATGGGCTGATTGACCTCCTGCACCATAACACTTGTGCGATTCTGTGATGTCATTTTAATCAGATTACATAGTCAATGATTTCATACAATTCCAGTTTTAAATTTTACACAGAAGAAGGTGATTTTTTTTTCAATAAATGTTGATAAGAACAAAAAGTAAAACAGAAGGTACTTTGAAACTCTCCTGCCATTCATTAGGGCATGGCTAACCTTCAACGCTAACGTTACTTTCATTCCCTATCCCCATATCCTTTGATTCCCATGATTTCCAAAGCACACTGTATGAGTTTTGAACAGACTCGTCAACTTAGCTGCCATTAATTCCTTTATGAAAAATAATTTCTCATTCATAAAATTGTGTGGTTCTGTCTAATCATAAAGCAATGAGCACATATTGGAAAAAAATATGAACATGTACAGAGGGCATTCAAGAGAGTACATACTTCTGGTGTGGTGTGTTAATACAATGTTATTGTAATTTTAAAAGCTTTTCCTTGAACATAGAATAGTACAGCACAAGTACAGGCCCTTCGGCCCACGATATTGTGCTGAGCTTTTACCCTAATCCTAAAGTCTATCTAATCTCCAGCCCTACCTTATACTATCATCCATATGCCTATCTAATAGCCGTTTAAATGCCCCTAATGAGGCAGACTCCACTACCCGCTCCGGCAATGCATTCCATGCTCCGACCACTCTCTGAGTAAAGAACTACCTCTAACATCTCCCCTATATCTACCTCCACTCACTTTAAAACTATGCCCCCTCATAATAGCTACCTCCACCCTAGGAAAAAGTCTCTGGCTGTCTACTCTATCTATACCTCTGATCACTGATCGATCGTTAAGGATTCTTCTGCCTGGTTGATGGTCTGTGATGGGGCAAAAGAAATCTATTTATGATGTTTCCATCTCATGAAGAGGCTTTTGGCTAATTCGTGTTTCCTGACCTGCTGTGAAAATTCTGCTCAAATTTTGACAGCTGTGACAAATATCCTCACAGCAACTGAGTCAATAGACACCATTTTAAAGTAATCAACATAATTCTAACAGAAGCAACTCTAATCCCAGTGGCCTCTGGTCCTTTATATAAAAAAAATTAAGGATCTTGATCTTCTTTATTCATTAACAGGATGTGGGCTTTGCTGGCTAGGCAGCATTTATTGCCCATCCCTAGTTGCCTAGAGGGCAGTTCAGAGTCAAACACATTGCTGTGTGTCTGGAGTCACATGTAAGCCAGCAGTTTCCTTCCCTAAAGGGCATCAGTGCACTAGATGGGTTTTTCCCAACAATTGACAATGGATTCAGGGTCATCATTAAATTCCTAATTCCAGACATTTTATTGAATTCAAATTCCACCATCTGCCATGGCAGGATTTGAACCCAGGTCCCCAGAGCATTATCTGGGTCTCTAGATTAACAGTCCAGCGCTAATACCACTAGGCCATCACCTCCTCCCTGGATCAGTATTCTCACCAAAAATGAATAAGTTCATCGTTTATAACACAGTGTGGAGCTGGAGGAACACAGCGGGCCAGGCAGTATCAGAGGAGCAGGAAAGCTGATGAAGGGTCCTGACCCAAAACATCAGCTTTCCTGCTCCTCTGATGCTGCCTGGCTTGTTGTGTTCCTCTAGCTCCGCAATGTGTTATCTCTGACTCCGGCATCGGCAATTCTTACTATCTCTGAGTGAGTTCTTCATTTGGTCCTTTCATATCTGTCATTAAATTCTGTTGAAATCGATTCGTGCTGGAGATGCATCATTTGCCAATGACCATTATTAACAGTGGCAAAAGCTTTACCTATGTCTACCCTCTGTCTGTGTTTAAAATTTTCCTGGGAAGTCTAGAATACTGTCCACTATTCTTTGGAGACCATGCATTTAAGATAAGAGAGGGGAAGTTTTTTTAAACACAAAAAGGTAGGTGCCCAGAACGTGGTGCTGGGTAGTGGTGGAGGCAGATACGATAGGAGTGGTTAAGGGGCTTTTAGATAAGTACAAGAATAAGCAAAGAATGGATGGATATGAACCAGGAACAGGTAGAAGGGATTAGTTTAATTTAGCGCTATGTCTGACTCAACATCATGAGCCGGAAGGGCCTGTTCCTGTCTGTACTGTTCTATGTATGTTGCGTCTACCCCATTTGTCTCAAATCCAACTACAATAGTTACAGTGAATGGTCAAGAGTTTCCTACGGAAGTTTTAAGGAACAGTCTTTAACATCCAAGTGAAAATTTAAACCAGTAGGAATGGAATAGAAGAAAATGATTGTTTGTTTTGGTTTTCTCCTTAGATATAAAGTCTTGATGAGGAACCTCTGTTTACCTGATGATTTGAAGGGGAAGTGTGCTGCATTACTTTATTACTATGACAACACTAATACAGATTGGCAGCTGGGGAGAACGAAGGTAAACTTGGATTGGAGATGTGTTCTTCCCTCACTACCGACCCCCCCCAAACCCCCCGGGAATTGTATTCTGTCATCCAGTGAATATCAGGAAAAGCAATGTATGCAATTCATTTTTAAGAATTATTGGGAATTGACTATTCTAGCAAACCATGTCCTCACAACCTTTTCATAAGCATACTCTGTTTAGCAGCACAATCTTTTGTGATTGATTTATGTATTCACTGACGTGTAAAATCCGACATAGCTAAAATAATTTAAGATTTACTCGGTATTTTGGTCAATTTAAAAACATATTCCTGTTTTCTTATCAAAGTTTTTCAGGTTTTCTACTTAACCGACAGAACCCACATTGTCAAATGTTAGTAGAATTTCTCTTACAACATTTATTTATTAATTCTCATATTGTCAAGACTTGTCAAATTTGAAGGTAACTGCTGTCACTGGACAATTAACTTGTAATTTTTTGTGGTCCATCCAGTATTCTGATGCCAAGCTCAGTCACAAAAGTTGTCAAATGCTTAGTTACTGATAAACATAGATCTTGTGTGTTATTCAACAATACAAATAAGGAACAAGTGTGTTCCATATCTAGTGTAGCTGTTAGTTGAGTTGAGTATAATTCATATCACTGTGAATAGTACATACTTTTTTCACTTCCAAATATCAGCTAAGGTCAGCTGCTGATTTGAAAGTGAATAAGTGTGGAAATTGATTATAAGATCATCGTAAATTGCACCACCGGAAGTGACCATTCAGCCAGTTGTTTGTATTTGAAAAAGTATTTGTGATTATTCCCACATCTTCACTTACTGCTTAGAAACTTTAGGTTCTTTTATCCTCAAGTACCCAAGCCACTCAGTGATGGCATCAATGGAGCAGCTTGCACTTACTGTTCTAATCTCATTGATTTGAGAGACTTGGAATCGTAATAGCGTACAAGTTCAGTGTGAATGGGAACTCCTACAATATTCACTATTTACATGCACCTGGCCAAAGAGACAATTGCAACACAGCTGGACAAATCAGGAAAGTAGGCACCCCACGACACCAACAGCATCAACAAGGATAGCACCCTGAGACTGCTGGATCTGTGCCTCACAAACCACTTCACCTTCAACGTCTGAATATTCAAACAAATCAGTGGAACACGAATGAGATCCCCAATATCAGGACTGATTGCAGAAGCGGTAATGCAAAGGTTAGAAAAGGACAGTGCTCCCCGCAATATAACCCAAGCTCTGGGTTCGCTATGTAGATGACACCTTCGTGATTATCAAATGCACAAGACTAGAAGAAACCCACTGACGCATAAACAACATCCTCACCGGAATAAAATTCACAAAAAAAAGAGAACAATAACCGACTACCCTTCCGAGACATAATGGTGGAACATAAGAACAATGGGGAATTCCAGACTGGCACATACAGAAAGACCACACATACGGACCAGATACTTAATTATACCAGCAGCCACCCCAGCACCCATAAACAGAGCTGCATCAGGACGTTACTCAAATTAGCCACAACACACTGCAGCAACCCGGAATTGTGCAAAACAAAACAGGAGCACTTATACGGAGGTTTTAAAAGGAACAGATGCCCAAAACGCACAATCCGCCATTACCTCCACAACAGACCACAACAAGAAGACACAACATGGCCAGACACACTAATTGCCCTACCGTACATCAGAGATAGAGATGACCACAAGACTACTCAGACTCCTGGGTATCAGGATGGCCCAAAGCCAATAACCACCCTGTGACAACTACTGACAAAGGTAAAGGATCCCGTATCCACAACCAATAAAACTAACGGAATGTATAAAATACCACGAGAGGACTGTGAGAAACATTACATAGGCCAAACTAGAAGAAAACTGACAGTAAGGATACATGAACACCAGCTAGCCACCAAAGACATGACCAATTCTCACTGGTCTCAATACAGCACAGACAAAGGAGGACATGAATGTAACTGGGACAACACGTCCATAATAGCACAAGCCAAACAGAGACATGCCAGGGAATTCCTGGAGGCCTGGCATTCCAACCGGAACTCCATCAACAAACACATTGAACTGGACCCGATATATAAACCACTGAAAAACAGAACTGGAAGTGATGCCAACTGCCCCAGCAACCCGAGGCATATAAATAACAAGCGGGACAGAACACCAACACTTCACCCAGAGGTACATTGACAATTTCACCAAGCAGGGTGACGAAACGTCTGCAATCAAACACTCCTGCTCAGCGAGCAAATCTACAACCTCTTCCACAAATCTTCTTAAAAACCTGTTCAGAATACTTAGCGTCTGTCTTCAACAAAGATGGAAATATTATCCAGGTCATGGTGACTGAGGAGGAAACAGGGTCACTGGAAGGGTTGAAAATTGTTGACAAAAAAGTGGTGGATAGATTGTTGGTACACAGTTGACAGGATACTGGGACTGGATGAGATGCATCCAAGGATTTTGAATTTGTTGAGATGCCAGTGTTGGACTAGTCAAAAATCACCAGGTTATATCAACAGGTCTACTTGAAAATGCAAGCTTTCATAGCTCAGCTCTTTCCTCGGGTGTGGTGTGAAGGAAGCAAGAATGAAGATTGTAGGGTCATTGGCCATTATCGTTCAGTCTTCCTTAGACTTGGGGGAGGTGCCAAAAGCCTGGAAGATTACAGCATTGCAGCCTTGTTCAAGACGTTTGTGAGGATAATGCCAGCAATTACAGACCAGTAGTGGGGAAGCAATAATTCAGATCATATGGAAAACATGAGCTGATTTAGAAAGAGTTAGCATCGATTATTAAAGTGGAAGTTGTATTTAAGTAGCTGGAGTTTTTTGAAGATGTAACAAACTCAATGAGGGTAATGTTTTGGATATAGTGTAGAATTATAGAATCCCTACAGTGTGGAAAAAGGCCGTTCAGCCCAACAATTCCACACCAACTGTCTCTGAAGAGCGTCCCACCCACAATCTCACCCTACTCTGCAGCCCTGCACTTCCCATGGTTAATCCACCTCACCTACACATTCCTAGACATGATGGGCAATTTAGCATGGCCAATCCACCTAACTTGCATGTCTTTGGACTGTGGGATGAAACCGGAGCAACTGGAGGAAACCCACGCAGACACAGGAAGAATGTGCAAATTCCACACAGACAGTTGCCCAGGGGTGCAATTGAACCCGGGTCCCTGGCACTGTGCGGCAGCAATGCTAAACACTGAGCCACCATGCCGCCCCCAGTGTTTGTGGACTTCCGGAATGTGTTTGATAGAGTGCCACATATCAGGCCTATGAGGACAGTTATAGGTTATGGAATAAAAGGAACAGAAGCACCATCGAAACAAAATTGGCTGAGTGATAGGAAACAGAGTCACGATCAACTGATATTTTTCAAACTGAAAGAAAGTTTGTTGTCGCATTCCCCGGGGTCTGTATTGGGTCCCTTGCTTCTCCTGATGTATATTAATGATCTAGATCTTAGTGTTCAGGGACATTTTCAAAGTTTGCAGATGACCGGAAACTCGTAAAAATTGTAAATTTGTGAGGAGGACTGCGTATAACTCAAAGATATAGACAAGACGGTGGAGTGGATGGATAGATGGGTACAATACAGAGAAGTGTGAGGTGATGCCTTTTAGTAGGAGGAACATTTGAGGAACATATGAAATAGGGGGTACAATTCTAAATGGAGTAGCAGAGGGATCTGTGTTAATGCATACAAACCACCCTGGCTGGAAAGCAGTTAAAGCATATGAAGCATAAGAAAGCAATCTATGACGGGCATAGATAGGGTAAACGTGAAGAAACCTTTTCCCTTGATGGAAGGATCAATGACCTGGGACATAGATTTAAGGGGAGAAGGTTTGGAGATGTGAGGAGAAACCTTTTCATCCAAAGGGTGTCTGGAATTCACTGCCTGTAGGCTGGTAAATACAGAAACCCTCATAACATGTCAGAAGTATTTAGATGTGCACTTGCAATACCAGGGCATAAAAGGCTATAGGCCAAGTGCTCGAAAATGGAATTCGAATAGTTAGCTGGTTTTTAACTGGTGGAGATTCACCGGGCCAAAAGGTCTGTTTCTGTGCTGTAGACCCCTATGACTTTGTGCACTTTGGAGAGAGTGCAGAGAGATTTACAAGAATTCTTCCAGGGATGAGAAATTTCAGTTAAGAGGGTAGATTGAAGAAATTGTACAGTTCTCCTTGGAGAGAAGAGGGCCAACAGGAGATCTGGTAGAGGTCTTCAAAGTCATGAGGGGGCTGGATGGAATGGATGGGCAGAAATTTCCCAATTGTAAAAAGATCAAGAACACAGATTTAGTGATTTACAAAAGAAGCAAATGTGAGATGGGTAAAAATCTTTTTCACTGAGTGAGTAGTTAAAGTATGAAATCAACTGCCTGAAACTGTGGGGAAGGGAGATTGAGTTGATGCAGTTAAGAGGGTATTGGATGATCATTTTGATGAAAGTAATGTGCAAGGATATCTGGGGTGAAAAAGCAGGAGATTGGCAGTAGGTAAATGATACTCATTTGAAGAGCCAGTGCAGACCCAATGGGAAGAATGTCCTTCTGTACTGCAACGCTTTTTTGCGATTATGTAATATCAGAATCTCTTTAATGAATTACAACAGACATATATTTTAATCAATCAAACATCTCTCTTTAGGCTTTTCAGTCAATTTGAATTGTGTCAATATAAACTATTATACCAATCAAAATTTAGATGCAAGTTAGTTAATATTATGACATTGGCAATAACCGAGAAATCCCAAGTGGTTTCCCATTAAGCAGTTATGAAACATTCCTCTTTGTCTTTTTATTTACTTAAAAATGTATGTCATGAAGTTCAAGAATGGAGTCCTAAGTGTGTAACAGAAAATAATTATTATTCCATCTGACACAAACCAAAAGACAGAAATGTCTTTTCATTAGTGGAGACTTACATGTCTTGCATATATTCTGCTCTACGTAGGTTTTCATCCGGGAGTCTCTTGAACACAGGCTGGAAAAAGAACGTGAAGTTGAGGTTTGCAAAGCTGCTGTGATAATACAGGCTTATGTCCTTGGCTATTTGGCAAGGTAAGCAATGAACATTTTGAATGGAAGAGCAAAGTTTATTTAATAATACTTGCATAGCCTGAATTTACTTGCATTTTAATGGTAATCTAAGACCATGTTCTAAGTAAATGAAGCAGAGTAACTTGCTTTGATAATTTCTTCTATGATAACATGTGACTCAATGTATCGTTTAATTATTGCAAAACATATTTCTAATAACTTTGTTTTGACTTCTTTAAGAAAATAAGTGTTAGTGTATGAACTTGTGTGCTGTCATATTACTGTATTTAACCAAAAGATTTTTTCACCCCAAATAGGAAACAGTACAAAAAGGTTCTTCACATGGTTGTTATAATTCAGAAAAATTATCGAGCTTTCTTCTGGAGAAAGAAGTTCCAACGTGTAAGGAATTCCACAATTATATTGCAGACACAACGACGAGGTCAGCTCGCACGCAGACATTATAAACAACTACTTGAACATAAAATAGCAGAAGAAGAGGTACAAAGAAACAAAGCACAGGAAGAAAGGTATGATGTATGAGTCCTCACCACAGCTGCTAACGAATGAGCTTTTATTTACTTTCAAGAATAGTATTTTATAAGCAGATGTCATGAAACTTCAGTGTATGGTGGCCAGTGCTTTATACTGACTGAATACCTTTTATTTCAATTAATTGGGATTACGGAGTCGCTTTTCTGCTTTCCACATCGGAGTCTATTTTCCAAGAAGAACATTAATTCAATAGTGTTGATGATTATAGTTGAGAATATAAGCATTTTAAGTCCATTGTAACATACGTACTGAGTAAAATATTCTCAGCTGTATTTATAGTTTGCTGAATACTGCCATCACATTTGGTGAGGCTGAAAACCTAATCCTAATTATATTATGAAATATGTAATTACTGTTGGTGCACTGCTGAATATTTAAAGCATTATTTTCTTACATTCCGTATGCTGTACTTAAGAAGCTGGTTCCTCTGTTGCTAGTTGGTTACAAAATCATTGTGAACTGGATGTGTTTTACGACAATTGACAATGTATGGTTGCCACTGGATTAACTTCAGTTCCTGATTTTTGTTGAACACTAAATTCATCATTTACTTTGGTGGAATTCAAACTTGTGTCCCTCATTAATTAGCCTGGGTCTCTGGATCCATGGATCCAATCTAGTGATATTGTCATCATACCATTCCCTCCCCATGCTATGTTGGTAAGTATGCTAGGGTAAGTGAAGGGAGCATATGCCAGAAGAAAGCAAATTGTCCACATTATGGTGTGATTGACTACATACATAGATTTCACCCTGAACATCCACAAGACTAAGGTCCTCCACCAACCTGGCCTGGCATTGTGGAGCAAACCCGTGATCATCAAAGTCCATGGGGATGCCTTCGAGGATGACAACAGATCTGACACCAAGATCATGGTGTACAGAGCTGTGGCAGTTCGTGCGCTGCTATGTGGCTCTGGAATGTGGACTGTCTACAGCGGACATCTCAAGGTGCTGGAGCAATACCACCAACGCTGCCTGCGCATGATCCTGCGAATCCACTGGGAAGTAAGATGCACCAACACCAGCGCCCTCAACCAGGCCAACATCCCTATCACAGAGGCACTGACCGCCTTTGATCGGCAATGATGGGCTGGGCACGTCATCCGCATGACCTACACGAGACTCCCCAAGCAGGTACTCTACTCCGAGCTTTGAAATGGCAGGCAAATCCCAGGTAGACAGAGGAAGCACTTCAGTGATACCCTTAAGACCTCAATTCCCACAGACACCTGAGAATCTCTGGACTAAGACCATCCAAAGGGAGGAGGAGCATCCGGGAAGGCACCTAGCACCTCGAGATTTGCCATCGGGGGAAAAAGTGGAAGCCAGGTGAAAACAGCGAAAGGAGCATTCTGCTGCACCAACATCCCACCTACCCCTTCCTGGGACCACCACCTGCCCCAGGTGTAACAGAGCCTGTGGTAGCCACATCGGTCTGTACAGTCACCTATGGACTCACCCTAAGAGTGGAAGAGAGTCATCCTCATCTGTGTGGGGCCATCAGTGATTGACTGACATAGATTTGATAGTGGTAATGTGTTTTTAGTTCCCAAATCTCCAACTAGTGCCCTATCTTAATCTTGCATCAATGTGTTGAGCAGCAAGTTCCCATCGATGCTATTGGTAGGGGTTATCAGCTACTTGGAAGTTAGTTGCTGATTAATGTATGATATTACAGGCAGCATGAACAGGCAGAACTGCATTCTCAGAGGGGCAAGGAAGCATTGCAAATGAGCATGTAGTGATGGCACTGACATGATTACCTGGACTCTAGTAGGTTTTACTTGCAACATCTTCTACAAAGATAAAATAACACAAGATATGGGAACAGGAGTACACCATACAACCTGTCTAGCCTGCTCTGTCATTCATTATGATTATAGCTGATCTTGGGATGCAACTTCACTTTACTATCTGCTTCCCATGTCACTTGAATGGCTGAGATTCCAATTTTTTTTTAAATCTTTGCACTGTGGGCATTGCTTGCAAGGTCAATGTTGTTGATCCCTAATTGCCTTGAACTGAATGACGTTCCAGGTCATTTCAGAGGACAGCCGAGTCATCTACATTGCTGTGCTAACTAACAGACTGCCTGATTCCCCAAAGTCTGTCCATCATTTGCAAGGCATAAGTCAGGAGTCTGATGGAATATTCTCTATTTGCCTCAATTAATACACACCTCGTGGCATTTTAAAAAGCTTAACAGTATCCAGGACAAAACATACTTCTTGATTTGCACCGCATCCACTACCGCATTCCCAACCATTAATGCGCAGTGGCAATACTATATACTATTTATAAGATGCACTGTGGCAACTCACAAGGATCCTTTAACAGCACCTTCAAAAGTCCATGACATCTATGCTGTAGAAAGTTGAGGACTGCAGATACATGGGAATGCTGCCACCTGCAAGTTACACGTCCAATGGTAGACATGAGCAAGACCCATCCCACAAACTTCACAGCAACCCACCCAGATATCAGTGGCCTCTCCATCAGAACAACCCTTGAAACGCTCGTTTCCTCCTGAGAAATGTCTCTCCTTTGAGGACTAACTTCTGATTTTCCTTCAATAGCAGCTTGATTTGGATGGCACATTGTCACATTAGTTAGCACTGCTGCCTCACAGCACCAGGGGCTCAGGTTCAATTCCAGCCTAAGGTGACTGTTGAGTTTTCAAGTTCTTCCCGTATCTGTGTGGGTTTCCACCAGGTGCTCCAGTTTCCTCCCACAGTCCAAAGATGTACAGGTTAAGTGGATTGGCCATGCTAAATTGTCCCATATTGTCCAAGGCTGTGCAGGCTACGTGGATTTTTCATGGTAAATGCAATGTTATGGGGATGTGATAAGTCTGGTGGGACTCTCTTTGGATGGTAATGCAGACTCAATGAGCCAAAAGGCCTATTCAGCACTGTAGGAATTCTATGATTCTGTGACTTCCTGCTGCTTCTGTCAGCATTGAACTTTTAGGCAACTGAACTCTAGTTCAAACTGCCAAATAATTGCTAACCTCTGTTATTTCATCTGAGACCATGCCATGATATTTGCCAGGCTGCATTTTGGGGTCCATAGTCAGACACCATTCGAATTCGCCAGCTGTACTGCTGTCAGTCTTCTCGTGGGTTTTCTTTTGACAAATTCCCAACTGACTGAGTTGACAACTGTTCCTCACCAACACTGACCGTATAAATGTTCTGAAGAATCATCTATCTTCATTCTGAGGGAGCCCAATATTTTGAGTCGAATTTCAGCTATGACAACAAACTAGAGCTTTTAACTTCAGTTGGTGAGCAAGACTATCCACTGACTAACTGGTTCACAAGTTCTGTTTTCAAAAGCATACAAGTGTAGAGTGCATATAACAACCATGGTAACAGATGAAATATGATCAAGCAGATCATTTAGAATTCTTATAAAGTACTTTGTAGATAATTTTGAAGGAACTCTACAGTAGTCGTAAGCATAATCATCAATGCCTGCTGTATCCTGCATGGCCTGCAATTATGAGCATATGGCATCTGGTATACAGAGAGTAGCTGAGGAGTAGGTAAATGACACATGACCTTTTTGCACAGTTGTCTCACACCCACACACTATCTATCCTCTTTTAGTGATCATATAAAGCTGTTTGAGTCAGTGTGCTAAAATTAAAAGCCACCCTGAACCAAACATTCGAAACCCACTTACTCAACTGGACTTTTGGACCGCCAAAGTCGTGAACAAAAGTGAGGGGCCTCAGAAACACTGAAGCCAAGTAATATGTTGATCTAAAAGTAGTGATCTCCGTGTGTGATCACTCTGCTCTCAATTAGAGCCAAATAACAGTTTACAAGCATTTTAGAAGGCTGCTTTTTAACATTTAAAGGGTCAAACAAATTATCCACAGCTTCAGAAATTGACAAAATGAAAGCGATGGAAAAAGAGTGACAAATCGTTCATGCCTACACGGGGTATCACCTGAGTTGCATAGACATGTCAGCAGGGCACTGAGCATTTGATAAATAGATGACTTTGGCACTGCAAAGAGAGTACCCAGGATTTGAATGTGGTTTCAAACATTAATGGACCAGAAGAGCAGGTCTCAAGGTCACCAGGAACAGTTTGGACAGCTGCCTTCACAGAATGAAGACAATGCAGACACAGTCCATAAGTCTTGTACGAACAGATGGGCGAGAACACAGCCAGAATGAGTGTGTATTTTTTGGGAATTTGGAGCACTGAGTTATTTTGGCGTAGAAGGCAAAGTGCTTTTTGAGTTTTTTTTGTTTCATAGTTTGTAAGGCTGTATTCTTTATCTTCAACTGAGCAGAAGGAGGGGAGTCCTAGTTTATTAGCTGCAGCTTCAGATGATTACTGCTTGGGAAAACGTCAAAACAGTAACATCATAGGAAAGTATTGTATTGATTGGTTCATGATTTTAAAAAGTGTTTTTGTTTTGTAAAAGGGATTAACTGAGAAACAGGAATAAATGAAAGTCAGGACCAATATAAAAATGTAATTATAAGTAACAAAGGGAAGTACAGTTTGTGTAAGGGAAGTCAGTTAATAGTATTCTCACATAAGAATAATATTTTTTAAGGAATAACTTAGAGGCTTAAAGGAAGTCATCTTAGCAGTGCTTGCACCCTTAATATGTTCCTCTTGTGCAACATGGCAAGTCATGGAAGTTTCACTTGTCCCTGGTGACCACAGGGTGGCACAGTGGCTTAGTGGTTAGCACTGCTGCCTCACTGTGCTAGGGATCTGGGTTCAATTCCACCCTTGGGTGACTGTCTGTGTTGAGTTTGCACATTCTCCCTGTGTTTGTATGGGTTTCCTCCAGGTGCTCTGGTTTCCCCCTACAGTCCAAAGATGTGCATGCTAGGTGGATTGGCTGTGCTAAATTGCCCATAGTGTTCAGGGATATGGACTTGTTGGGCCAAAAGGCCTGTTTCCACACTGCAGGGATTCTATGATTCTATGTGCAGTAAAT